ACTATGAAGATACTCAATTATGCTACCTTGGCATGCCTTGAAGTGAAGCATATTGATATCCGGTACCGCTACTTATATCATGTCTACCAATGGAATAGATCTTGGTAGAATATGTGCCTATAAAAGAAATGATTGCCAACCCAATGAATAAACCCAATTCAATTACAGATTATGTAAGGCACGCCAAAGCAATGAGATTGATTGGCACTTATTCATCTCGGGCCTAACTGGCTAAGTGGGAGATGTTGGTAGAGTGGCCATAGGCCCTCGTTTGATCCTCAACATGTTGGAATATCCAATGACCATGTGACAAGCCACATGTTGATGGAAGATGATTATTTTATGGTTATCTCCACACAACACTCACACACAATCATTCATTTTAAATTATTATCTATTTGTTTATTTTTTATAAAAATAAATTTATTTGATTGGTTATTTGAAAATGTTTTTATGCATGGAGATACCAATATTGTTGGATTATTCTAGGTCCAAATTACAGTTCTTATTGGGTCAATGGATATCCATTTGACCCTGTCTAGACTGGATGATCATGTGGCTAGATCCTTGGTCAGTACGTGACACTTGCCTCAATCCGGAGGGACTTGACTCAGTCAACCAAATGGTTATACTTCAATGTTCCTATTAGCATTTATTGCACACAGTAGGACATTGTTATAAAAGGGCACTTAGCTTGTTTCTAAAGCACACGAAAAAAGGCAGCTAAGTGAGGGAAGAGCATAGAGCCTCCCAGTTAGCCCAATTCGGATTAAGCAGTTCCAGGTTGCACTTTGCTTCCATGGGCTAGTGTCTTGGATCCTATATTATGCGCTACTCTTTTTCTCCTCTATGCAGGTTTGGTACACCAAGATCTCAGCCGTCCATCTCTACATCTACTCGGTCCTTCAGTTGCAATGGTCAAGACTAAACTGACAATTTTTTCATGTTCTTGCCTCCAATCGGAAACGGAGGAATACAATCCATTGGCTAAAAGATGATAGAAATTGGACCTCCTCTCCACATACAATTTTTGAGATTCTGCTCTCTTATTTCCAGAACATTTTCACAACTTTGTCTCCTCTTCTTTGACGATTTTGAATAATGTTGCTTTGATTGCTATATCTACTGAAATGGAAATTAAAAACACTTTATTTAGCATAAAGCCCCTGATGGTATGCAGGCTGGTGTATTTCAAAAATGTTGGGAGATTTTAGGGACAGATTTGGTGCACTTGATTCAACAATGCTTTTTACATCCAGAGATGATTGCTTCTATAAATCAGACATTTATTTGTTTGATCCCAAAGATCTCAGCTCCAGAATCGGCTTTGGATTTTCGTCCAATTGGTCTCATTAATGTTTCATATAAATTCATTGCCAAAATTTTAGTAGCAGCAACGGGATAAGCATTCTTACTTTTTATTGAAGCTTGATCTTTCTAAAGCATATGAAGTGGCCTTTTACACACCCTGGGTTTTGATGACAAGTTTTCTTCTCTTACTCACCATTGCCTCTCTACAACCCAATTATCAGTTCCTTTTAATGGTAGCCCTAGAACTTCCTTTCATCCTTTCATCCAAGGGCGGAGCCAGGGGGACCCACGGAGCCATGGCCCCCCTATGGTCCGGAAATCTCCATTTGTAATATAGTTTCCTTGTAAAATTTTCCCCTTTCCACCTCTTCACACAATGGTTGGGCCCTTATGGCTATGGCCTCATTTATATTTATTACCCCTCTATTCCAATCAATTTTAAATTTTGGCCCCTCTTATAAAAAAATTCCTAATTTTGCCCCTGCTTTCATCATTCTCGGGGGCTGTGACAAGGCTGCCCTCTATCACCATATCTCTACATCATATGTACAGAGGTTCTCTGTCGGCTTCTCTCTATTACTAAGTTAGAAGGAGGTAACATGCGGGGTATAAAATTAAATCATCTCTTTTTTGCTGACGATGTGCTTTTATTCGGCAAATGCTCCAACACAAAGATTCAGTGTTTACAAGAATAGCTTCAGACCTTTTGTAGATGGTCAGGGCAATTCATAAATTTTTCTAAATCGGCCATTCACTTCAGTGATAATACTCATAGGAGAGTGAGACAAAGTATTTCCAATGCTTTGGGAATAAGACATATGTGCAAGGTTGGAAGGGAGGAAGGGAGGAAAGTCGGTCAATGAGATTTTGATTCCCATTAACCAACTCTCTCATGTTCTTTCTCAAGATTTAAGCGGGATCCATAGTAAATGCCTTTTCCTTGAGTATCATTTAAGTGTTACCCTTTTCTTATTTGGAAAAGCTAAATGTTCAAAATATAATATGTCAAAAATGCCCATTAAAAAAATATAATTCAAAAAGCATGGACCTGGACCCAAGGTAAAAATGATAAAACATAGAAAAATTAACCACTTACCTCGAAAAACGAATGAAACAAAAGAACATTGGAAAGTTGAAGGTCTCATTTATCTTAGGAAACACTTACCCGAATAAGCATCCTTAACTAGATAAATGGCCTCTTTCTAAACGAATAAGGCTGGGACCTTTATTGGGATGGGTAAGAGTTAAGCTGGCCAGTTGGAAGATTCTCTTATTGTCACAAGCGGGTGGCACTGTTCTAATCAAATCAGCTCTAGAAGCCGTACCTCTTTATCAGATGCAAACACTCTTAATTCCCAAATATGTGTGCCCAAATGGACTTGGGCTTGTCTCAGCTTGTGCTCGTAACAAAACACTGATAGCTAAAACGGTTTGGCATTTTATCACTGATAAAAGTTCCATTTGGACAAATATATTATCAGTCAAATATCTACAAGGTGAAAATTTCTGAAAAGTGAAACTTAAGACTGGGGCATCGTACACCTGAAAAAGTTACCAAGTGTTAGATCTATACTGGACAAGGGAGTGTGATCCATGGAGTGATATTGACTCACATTTCTCTGATTTTGAAATCAATGACCCGTCTCTCTCGTGGGTTGCTAACTATATTGACTGTACGTCCAATACATGGTTTGTTTCAAAGCTCCAACAGGTGTTACCTCCGGGAGATGTTTCCAATGTATGAATATGCGTGTGAAGCGCCTTGTGTGAGGACCAGATCCGATTTTCCTCTTGTGTTGGTTTCACGGATTCTCAAAGTACCCCTTCTCATCCCTAATTCACAGATGGCTGATAATTCAGTTTGGAGCAAATTAAACACCACATGGAACCTATGCTTAATAGCAAGGTTTTTAAAATCGACCCAACCGGTGAGGGGTCCGATTCTCAGGTTGAATGATTCGACCGTTCAAATCGAACAATCAACCTGTTTTGATAAAAAATAAAAAAATAAAAAAATATAAAAAAGGTCAAAACTGTTTAAACAGTTAATCGCCTGGATCAACGGTTTTTGGGAAAAATCCAATTTTAAGGAAAAACGGGACCGATCACCTGATCGGCTCCCAATTTTCCAGTCCGGTCAGGTTTTGAAAACAATGCTTAATAGAGTCATCCTCACCCAGTTCGTCGTCCTCTCAACTCGTAAAAGGAGATAGATATGCATTGGGACCATCTTTGGAAACATAAACTGTTACTTCCAGCTGTGAAATTATTTCTTTGGAAATGTGTGTTTCAAAATTTGCCTACAGTTGATGTATTGGGTAAACATAACACAAATTTGGACACTCTTTGCTCCTTATATAATGATTCAGAGGAAGCATTGTTACATGTTCTGTTTCTTTGCCTGACAGCACATGTTCTCCTCACAGCAAAATACTGTTCTTTTGCCGTCAATTGCGTAACAGACACACCAGCATTTGTGGTGCAAACCAGACATATCCATCTATGCTAAAGCTCAATATAAATGCGGCTTATAAAGAAGGTGTGGGATCAGCAGGTTTGATACTCCGTGACCATCATTGTGGTTTTATTTGGGCAAGAACAGTTCCTGTTGAATGTGATAGTGCTGAGATGGCTGAGGCTATGGCTTCACTTGAACGTCTTTCTATGCTCTCCCAGTTGCAATTGTCTCATGTAGTTATTGAAGGTGGTGCAGCAAACATTTACAAACTCCAGTTGGTGGATGACTTAAACCCACTGTAGCTGCTTATTATGTGTTTGGTTCTGTTGGTATTTATTGAAAAAATACCACTATATCAATGTTATATAGGCATTTACGTTTATTGCATATGAAGCAAAATGAAATAACTGTTTTATTATTTATCAAATAAATGGTAAAAATTAAAACGTTTTGATTTTTATGCATGGGACATTTGGGGAAATACCAAGTTCTTGTTTCCCCTAATGCCCTAGTGTTTCTTGAAACCAAATGTTGATATATCACACTTTAATGGGTATTAATTTGAGGTAGAGAATAAAAAACATTTAAAGTAAATCCCAATCAAACAACAAAAACAAGAAACATTTAAAATAAAAAATGTTTAAAGTAAAAAAGTATACATAAACGTTTAAAATAAAAAAACACAAATAAACAACCACCCATAAATGTAAACAAAACCAAACACCCTAAAATAATAACAGTTTGCAAGAGTTATCAGCAAATAAGGCTATTTATGCTATAGCAAGAAAAAGGTTTATCTTTGGATCGGCCTGTCAATTATTCCAGATTTCTTAAACACTATTCTTGTAAATGATATTTCATCAATCTTGAATGAATGAATAAGCTTACGGGCTTTTTATCAAAAAAAAAAAAAACAAATTTTATTGAGATTTATTTATCTTATTTTCTCTCTATTAACAACTCTATTATGTGAATTCAAATCAACCCCCTACAAGACTGCTCCCATAACGTCCTACACCATATCCTACGATCTCAAGAATGATAATGTAAGCATCGGGAGATATTCCCAATACACGGCGGAGATGTTCCGTTGTGGGATTGGGTCTCCTATTAAGCCCAGTTAAATGAGTGAGCCCAGTTCAAAATTTAAATTTCAAACTTAAAATTTCTCATAACTAATTTGAGAAAAAGTTTTAAGTCCTACCACCCCACTTAACTATGTTGGCTAGAATCCGAGTCCTACCCGTATGGGTATTTTCCAACAGGTCGTCCTTCAACACTCAGTTTGTGGGCTGTTGTTTACTACTCGAATTTGTCCGAGAGTTCAATTGCTGGGCAGAAGAGTTCCCTCCTTTATTCGCCGATCTGTTCTACCGTCTTTGTTTCAAGAAAAGTGGTGCCCCACTTCAGCGTCGCCGTTGATTGAGCAAAAGTTCGTCGTTTGCTACTCGCTGCAACTATCGCGCTTCCTGAATCCTGAGACGAAACCTCTGTTTTATTTGAAGAGACGAAGCCTCTGTTTTTTCATTTTTCATTTACCAAAAAATTCGGTTGAGGGTGGATTTTCATATAAGGGTAGTTTTGTCATTTAACAAAACCCTAATGCTTGTGTTGATATAACGCTCAACTGCTAGGGCTGCTTTGTTCTTCTCGTTTCTCACTGGTTTCTCAAGAGGCGACGGAGAAAGGAGTGAGTTTGAGCCTGTGAAAACCCTGCAGCCGTGGTGGGTTCTTCGTGTGTTTTAACTCATCCTTATTTAATTTCTAGGTTTATAGCCTATTCGACGTCTCCACAGAACGACTTCTCGTATTGATGATTTCTTTCTTGAATTCGAAGATTGTTCTTTGTTTGAATATACAATTTCTCTTGAAAAAATTTTACTGGTGAACGTTTCCAAGGACTAAGAAGACGTAGTAGAGCAAAGAGTGCAGGAAGCACACTGTACAAGAGGGGGAAGGATAGTTTGTCTGCATAGGGGAAGCGTCGCTATGATTGTAAACAGTCAGGTTATGGTGGGCAAACCAAACTTGTCTTCCATAAGAAGGTAAAAAATCAAACCATCAACACTAGAAATGAGATATTCTGTCTTTTATACACTTTCAGCTAGAAACTTCAGTCAATCATGCCGGGCATACTTCTAATTTGTTTTCTTTTTTTTCCAATGATAAGATAGCAACTCTGACTCGTAGAAATGCTTTCATTTTCATCGTTAATTTCGTAAACATAGTTATTCTGATCATTTTTATTTGCTTTGAGTAGCCACAATATCCAATACCCCATGATGCGAGTGTAGGCCTAGGCTTATGTTCTTAGATTGGCATTGATCCAGGTTTTTGTTTGCAGAGCATACAGTCCAAAGTGGTAATATTTCAGATTACCGTTCGAACTCATCTTGTGGTATTTATCTCTCATTGCAGCATCATATTACGTATTTGAGGCTACATAGAAAACAAGGTACCATTCACTTGCTTCTTATTTTCATACTCGTTACACATTAGAGCGTGGGTTAGATTATCTTTAGCGGCAATTTAAATAAGTGGTATCTTATGGTGTTTCATGGTTCCATCCATAGGGGTCTATCTTCTTGATATGCCCCTTGTAGTGTTGAGAAACAATATCCAGAAGGCTTCTTCTATTTCAGTAGTGCCGTAGTGTATGGTTCCTTTTAGGATTGAAGTTATCAATGCCTACTGTTAGATGTGAGTTCATTTGGGTGGTTTGATCAGTAGCTTCAGGTTTGACACGATTCAGCTTGCTATCCTATCTTTGGTGTACTAAGAATTTTATTGTCATACTTTAATCAGCACGGACATGTGCACAGAAAATAAGTACTTAATTTTATTAATTTTTATAAGGACGAAAATTAAAATTTCTCAAATATGACATTGGGTTCCATCAAGTCCCATGCAACCCCATTATATACTATATAAATTATATAGTATAATATATACAACTGTATTTATATATAACTATTTAAATTCTATATATTGAAAGTAATACATGTTATAATACAATCAGATTGGATGGGTTTGAATCTACATCCAGTTCAATTATTAATTGGATGCAGATTATAAAATTTGAATTAAATTTGATTATAGCTCATCTGAATCCAATTCCAAAGAATTGGAATTCTAAAATTCAAAAACATGGTTGGTTTTGTTTCTGAAAACAAAACAACTGACACATCATCAAAAGCAATATAAATTTGCTGATGTGGGAGTTGTTTTTGTTTCCAAAAAAACCAAGCATGTTATTGAACATCCCCTTAATCGACTCAAGTGAGCTTCCCCCATGTGTTTGTCATTTTTGGTGTCAATTTACACAAGAGTATGGATTAACGTGTAGTTCTTTGTGTTTTGCTTTTATTCTCTTTAATTTAGTCTTGAATTGTTCATTGTTCTTTGCCATGCCTTATTTTGATTCTTAGAAGTTAGGCTTGCCATGCAATATTTTGAGAATGTTGATAATCTTATTTGAATGGTTGGATGTGTGATGTATGGATGGATGCAAGCTTGGAGGGGGTAGTGCAATGTTTTCAACCCCAGTGTTTTCAAATGGAGTGGTTTATGAATGTTTTGGACTCTATCAAACTTAATTGTTGAAATTGTTTTTGGATTAAAAGGAGAGGGTGCTTTCCTCATTTTTCATCATAATATTAGTTGGGTTTCTAGTTGGTGCTAGGTTGTGGTATTCAAAAATTTGGTGCTGCATTTTTTTGTACACCTTGTAGGTTGTACATCCACTTAGTGGAAGAATTTCCCTTGTTACTGTCTGGACAGCTGTGTAGTTCACCCCTGTTATGTGTCACTGCAGTTTTTTGTCCTATGCCATAGTTGGCCTGGTCTGAGCTTCCCTGTTTTTGTCAGCTTTGGCGGCCTAGGAGCCCAAAGATTTTTTGAAAAAAGATTGAAACATAAAATGGGAAATAAGGCCTTTCCAAGCAAATACAACAAAAAAGAGGATTGTGGTTTTGAATTTAAATGGAATAAGTCTAACGGCAAAGTTAAGAACATGCAACCCCTTCTAGAAATTGTTTCTTTACTTTATATTAGTTCTTAATTGAAGTGCTTTAGCGTGCTTTTCTTTCATTTTAATTATTTTTATGTAAGTTATATTCCTTGTACTGTGTGTAGATTCATTTGCATGTTTTTTTGTTTTTTGTGATGAATACACTCAGTTCTTTCATTTGTATGTTTCAGCACCCACTATTTGCACACCACTTGCATTAGATTTAGAACCTATTAACACTTTAAGAGAGGGTCAACAGATGTATGTCATCAGGACTTTGTTCCTTTTGGTAGCATTGGCAACCCTCAAACTTGGAACCTTGGTCTGGTAGGTTGGACATAAAACTGCATGCCTCTTACCTAGCCATCGAAGTTGGTTTAGATGGAGTAGCTCAGTAGCCCAGTAGGTTCAACCCAAGCCTGATTTTTTTAGGACACATTTTGTGGAGCTTTATGAGAGGGGTCTAAAATAATACCTAGGAAACATTAGACTATAAGAACAAAAGAAAAAGGGAAAAAGAACAAAAAACATAAGAATCGAAGCTCAAGATCAACTTTAAAAAAATTCTTTAATCAAAACCTAGGGAAAAATCCAAGTTAAACCAAGGTTAATCCCCAAAAATACACTAGCAAGAATCAAAGCTGTTTGATACACCCTACAAGTAACTAAACGAAACCAATTCAAACACCCCATGATAATACACAACAACCCAAGTCAAACCCAGGCTAATCCCAAAAAAATAAAATACACTAGCAAGAATCAAGCTATTTTATTTGACACTCCCCACAACTAAATCAAAAACATCACTCTAGATGGAGGCTCACCCCACTCCCAAGACATAAAAATCCATCAAATAGAAATTAAACCATCAACTACCTAATCAAATTCAATATTGCAAGGAGATCAGGACCCAATCTAGAATTATTTATATTTATAAAAAAGACCCAATCTAGAATTCAACAAAAGAAAGGGAATCTAGATTGAGCAATTTCTCAACCTCACGATAAAAGATCTTAATGCAAATCATTGATGCACCATATCGAGACAGAACACCATCAACCGTTTAAACCAATAATAATCCCAAGTTTATATTTATGATCTTTGAAAGTCAAAGTGATATAAACAAAGACTTGATCCAACAATGCCCTTCATCACTATATCTTTCCTTTTGAGCCGAGTAGATATAGGGTGTTGAGATTTTGTTCTCACATTCTGTGTTGAAAGGTGCCTACCAGCTCTCCAAGTAGGTGTATGATCCTTGGACTTTGATCCTTTGATCAACATTCAAGGGGGCTCCATTCCTTTGGCATTCCATATCTTGTATCACTCTCAGAATCAATAGAAAAACTTGATCAAATAAGCATAATGATGGTCCACTAACCCTAATTTGTTTTTGATAGATGGAGCATGATTTGCTTGAGTACCAGGGATGCCACCCAACCTTGCTAGATCGCCTTCAAGCAGAAGCAGATGAAGTCAAAGCCTTGATGGGGGAAAACAGTTGGGGCAACGTCATACGCTTGTCTAGAGTCACTCTTAATTGGCCATTGTTGAAAGCTGCCTTCCAATGCTGGGACTGTGAGAAATTGGTGTTTTGCTTCGGAGATAACCATATGTGCCCTACCCTTGAAGAGATTGCCTACATGTTGCAAATGCAATTAGAAGATGAAATTCTTTTTCCCGTTGCCAAGCAGGGGTACCGCACTGAGCTAGCTAATTATCTGCGATGCAAGAGGACTCACCTTGAAATGATTAATGAAAATGCGGTCTCCATAGAGTTCTTGGTGAAACGAAGTGCGACCACCTTACAACATGACAATCCTACCAAAGAAACTGAAGGAAAGAACCATGCACTTGTTCTGGCCATTGTGGGGCATTTACTATTCCCCCAAGATCGAGACTCAATCAACCTCCGATTGATTACTCCACTTCGACAGCTAGAAGAGCTCAAGCAAAACCCAAGAAACTTGACTCGAGTCGCTCTAGTACCCATGGTTTTGGCTGAGATATTACGTAGTCTGACTGCAGTAAAAGCTTCTGGTACTTGGCCATTTCAAGGATCCCTACAACTTCTCCAGCTTTGGTTGATCCAGCATTTGCCCTTCCTAGTGATTACTAATATCGATAGTACACCTCTTTCTCCCGGGCCGACAGACAAAATTGTTGAGGTCCTCACCCACTCACAACCTGCCTATCTCACACCTGAAGACTACCATCGAAGGCTCCAAATGGTTCGAGAAGAAGAAATCCAATGGAAGATAGGAATATCTATCCAGAATGGTTGCACACAACCCCGCTTGGCAGCAGAAGGCAGGCAAAGCATGGTTTTGGCAGGTCTATATGGTTCTATTCAATACATCCCACTCCTAGTGCTAAGGCAGTTTGGTTATAAGCAGATAGTCCCCACCTACGACGCCATTTCTGGAGAAGCCATCAACTTTGAAAAACATTGTGGTACCGTGGAACGTCGCTTCAAGGGACTTTGGGCATCAAGCAAGAGAGAATTAGCCATTTCCCCAGCCACTCCATTGTGCTCTTGTGAACCATTTTATTACCAATGGTTGCAAAATTCAGGTATCTCACCTCCTTCAGTACCACCACCTGGTATACCTACACCCGTTAAGCCTCCATCACCACCAGTTATACGTATACCTACACCCGTTAAGCCTCCATCTGAAGATCCTGCACGTATTAAGCCTCCATCTGAAGGTACTATATCAAAAGAATCCCTTAAACCTGTTAAGCCTCCATCTGAAGGTACTATATCAAAAGAATCTCTTAAACCCATTAAGCCTCCATCCGAAGGTACCATATCAAAAGAATCCCTTAAACCCGTTAAGCCTCCATCTGAAGATACTAAATCAAAAGAATCTCTCAAACGCCCGTTGGAAGAACCATTTCTGCAAGCTATTCTTGGTCTTCACAAGCAAATCAAGAAGATTAAAAAGCAGGAGACGCCGAGTGCACGAGAAAAATGTTTGCAAGAAGAATTGGTGCGAGCACAGACTGATCTAGAGGAAGTAGAGATGGCCCTGAAACAGGCCAAAGAAAAGCTAGATAGAGTTCTCCGAGAGAAGAATGAAGCTAACTTACGCGCCCAACAGCTTCAGAAGGAAGCAGTTGGAGTCTTCAAGCGCATGCAAGTCCATGCCACCAGAGATGTAATTGCAACAGCATGGATGAGTAGGCGAATTGCCAAGTTAGAAGACGCACTTCGGCAGCATGGCATTGAGATCCCACCCCCTCTTCCCTGTCCACTTGAACTGTGATGATTAATAGAATGTTTTGATAACCACTGTTCTAAATAGATCTTCAAAACTAATTACAGGCATTTAATATCCAAACCTTAAAATTGAACATTAATCAAATTAGAACATCAAAGAAAAAATGAACTGTTGAACCATCAAGTGTGAAGGAGACTGGAGATCATCAAACGATAGAAGTAGGGACATCGAAATAGGATTGCCAAACTATCGGTCATCAAAATCAAATGATCAATGTAGAACTAGAACCATCAAATGATTAAGTAGAAGCATTGAACATTGAATCATGAAATCATCGAAGTGGAATTATTGAAACCGAACCATTGAAATACATTGAAGCATGGTTTTTGAACCGCCGTTGACTTGGATGGTTGGACTGTTCGGCCCAAGAACAGTTCAGGAAACTGGTTACGTTTTACCCCAAACCCGGTCTCTGGTAAAAAACCGTTGAATCAGTCAATGACCCATTGACCTGGGCAGTTGAATCGTCGATCCATCAACCTATTCAACGATTTTTGGCCTTTTTATTTTTAATTATTTTTTTAATTTTTGTTGTCAGAATGGGCCATCCGTTCGAACTGGATGGTCAAACCGTCGACCCGAAAACCAGTGTCTAATACGATTCTGATGCAGTGCAATCTGGGCACTCTTAGCTGACAGTCGACTGTCTCCTAGCTGGCGACGGACGGTACCTGAGAAGAAGACGGTGAAGGATTCTCGAGGGACTTGCCCGGTGGGAATACTCCGATGCTTTAAGTTAGAACACTTGAGAGAGCGGTAAGGAATGCAAAGAGAGCTAAGAGTGCAGGTAGCGCTAGATCAGTGAAAGTTTGAGATTAACTCAAGATCCCTTTGCCCCTTCGACCATGGGACTTTTAAATATGGGTGTTCTTGTTAAATCGGGCGTAACGGCCACTAGACCTCTGTCGCAGCCGTTATTTGCTAGGGCTACGCAGGTAACCGTTGCAGCTACCCAATCGGATGAGTGACACGACCTGGAAAGGACAGACACGCCACTACCTGTCGAGAGACGTGGGTGCAGTTTGCTGGGGTGGCAGGGACTGCGCCGTCAGTCAGGAGACGTGGTGCAGTCTGATGGGTACGATCTCGTCAGATAAGAAGCTTCCTGAAAACACCGC